AATATTTTTCGATCTTAACGATAGAAAAAGTTAAGTTTATGTTTCCGTTATGTATATATAATTGGAATCCCGGAATCGGCTCCAACGATTTTCATAAAATTTAGTATATAGGAATATATAAATTTAGTATAAGAAAGTATTATCGATAATCAACTTAAACATAAACGTAAACTTAACTTATATATATATATATATATGGGGATACAATTTTGTAACCAATGACCTACAAATGTTGCTACATTAAAAAAAAAAAGCTATTATGTTATCGTCAATAACCCTTTATCAATATGAAATAAAAAAACAATACAATTAACAAAGATTTTAAAAAAAAATTAAGTTTTAAAAAAAAGCCATTTATTTTTTTTAATACCCAGAGGGGAATTTTTATTTTATTTTTCTGGTGACCCTTGTGACCACCCCTATCTTCCCCCTACCTATGTACGTAACCTTTTGGGACACCCTGTATATATCATATAATTTGCAGCGGTGGCGTCCGTGTGGCTTCTACTTAATGATTAAACTCATAACACGTTAATATGTCTTGATAACATTATAAATTATTATATATGACATCGTTCTAACATATGTGACATAAAACGTGTCCAATTCAAAAACATTCTTAATTGCAAATTATGTGTTCATTTAATTTCACGTAGCACCCAAAAATTGTGTTAGCACCGCGCGTTTTACTTGGAAAGATTTGGAAAATCTCTCATCAGTGTCCCCTAATATTCCACTGTGGCTTATCTTTATTTATATAATTCTTCTGTGAGTGTGTATGTCACTGAACTTCTCTCAAACGACTGGATCGGTTTTGATGAATTTTTTTGTGTGTGTTCAAGGGGATCTGGGAATGGTTTAGATTCACAATTTTCATCAAATATTAACTTTATATTAATTTATTCAAGTTAAAGACGTGTAGACAGGACAACGTCTGTCGGGTCCGCTAGTATATAAATAAAAAAATAATTCTATAATTCAATTACAAAGAGGTTAATACCAGTAATCAAATTATTTTTACTGCCTCAAAGAGATGAACTTGCAATTTATAATTTTCTACACATAAAGACGTTGAAAGAAAGGACGTCCGTCTCGCAATCTTAAAGCGCATGTCATCGACTCACGCGACGTAAAGATGACGTCACGTCCGGCCGCGCCATTGTGCTCAGAACCGCCATATTAGTTTCACACGAGGGCACAGTATTACTGTTTGAACACACATTCGGTTAGCGATATTCCTTGTAAAATTTTCAAAACGTAGAGAAATAAATCCGTGATAAGTACACCATATCAAAATTTGTAACATCCTTTCATTTAAAATTAACGTTATCACTGGTTTATTTCTTTGTTTAAAGGTCTGTTTTGTCTAGACGTGGGCATTTATAGGAGTACTGCACTGTTCTGCACTGAATCATGACTGTTTTGTCCTCGTGGAAATAAATCAAAGGTTTTTCATACTAATATTACAAATAGGAATGTTTGGATGGATGGATGGATGTTTGAAACTCCAAAACGCCAGCATGGATCTTGCTGAAATTGGATAGATATGTAAAACATAACCTGAAAGAACACACAGGCTAATAATTACTTTTTAGATCCGCGCGGGCGGTGTCGCGGGCGAAAGCTAGTAAGTTGATAAGCTGATAAGAATCTATGTCTATGGTATTCAAAGTTTCAAACTTATATAAACAGATTAACCATTCAATGCAAAGTGAATGACGAATTCATACAGTTACAACATGAAGCCATTGTCCTTCACTTACAAAACTTAACACAAGTCTTTTATCATAAAATATTTACCGCTTGAATTTCATCATCATCATCATCAGCTCACTATACGTCCCCACCGAGGGACTCGGAGACTACCCTAAGTTAAGGGTGATTAGGCCATAGTCAACCACGCTGGCCAAGTGCGGGTTGACTTCACACATATCTTTGAATTTCTTCTCAGATATGTGCAGTTTGCATCATGTTTTCCGACCCACCGACGCTCTCTTGAATTTCATACCAAGTAGCTATTAAAATTCAACTTTTCAAGAATTCAAACACTCGGTTTCTAAGCCCTAAATCTTCATTTAACAAATATTGTTATCTCTGTTCTGTTAAAGATAATGACAGGGATGACGATATGTTTTATAAAGACATTTTGGTTTCGGAAACTAACGGTTAGCCTCAACATTTCATATTCTTTACTAAGGAAGATCATTTAATAACTTTAAGGCAGTTAGTTTTAAAAATATGCAACACTTAAGTGCGGACAAATGTATGCGCCTGTATCCACTAAGCGACTAGCGACTTTGCCAGTGAAAACTGAATCATTTAAACTTACCTATATATACACAAAGCTATGTAGTTGATGACTGGGTCGACAAAAAGTGTAATACTTACCGAATAATCTATCAGAAATCGCCATTTAAACTTACCTGGAAAGAAATAAAACATTGTAAATTCTTAAAACCACATTTAGGTAGACAGTGGTTGACCCGATATGCAAAGCGTTCGTTTCAAACAAATTATTCGATAGTATGCGGTTTTGTTTGCCATATCTTATACATATAAAAGAAAGTCGTGTTAGTTACACTATTTATAACTCAAGAACAGCTTTACCGATATGGCTGAAAATTGGTGAGGAGACACTTAGAGCCAGGAGACGGACATAGGATACTATTTATTCATTTTTTTTTTCGAATTTATTCCTTGAAGAGCTGCTTTTTATTTTACTTACTAATATTATAAATGCGAATGTTTAGATGGAAGTGATGTGGATGGATGTATGGGTGTTTGAAGATATCTCTAGAACGGCTGAACGGATCTCGATTAAATTTCGCATACGTATAGAACATAGTCTGAAAGAACACATAGGCTACACTAATTAAGTTTTTGTTATATATCCACGCGGACGGAGTCGCGGGCAACAGCTAGTTTGAAATCTTTGATAAACAAACATATTGATAAAGAGATCTTTTATCTGGCGCTTTACACTAAATACAATAATTTAGCTCATTCGATTACGTTTTCTTTAATAAAAAAGCAGTGTCTTTCTAAAAAAAAATGTTATTTGCGATTTCTAGGATTTCACTATCCGTGTAGAGATCGATGTAAAAACACAGCCTACATCCGGTATGAAGACAGCACATAAAGGCACTTTCTAAAATACAAGATAGACTAAGATCCGCATTTAAAAGTTGACTAAATCTATTGTTGTCTGTAACTTACATAAGAATTATTGTTACAAATTTTCTTTGTCATTAATATTAAACGTAAATAATTGATTAAAAAAAACAATAATTTACAGAAAAAACAAACGAAGTTACGGTAAGATTTTTCTTAAAATTAAAAAAAAATCATTTATGCTAAATTTTAGCGAGATTCATGCAGCCGTTTTAGACATACCTTCTAACAAACATCCATACATCCATCCATGCGATTAGACATTCGCAGTTACAATATTAGTAAGATTATAACTTATTTACTATGATTGCTTTTACTTAAAACTATTTGCAACCGAAAAATAAAGTTTGTAGTAACATTAAATTTACTATTTTGGAGTCACAGTCATTGCAACCCTCAGCCCTTAATTCGATGGTGTCCAGTACGACAAACAACGAATTAAAAAAATCTACTGAACTAGTTTAGAGAAAATTACGTAAGTATGACTTTATTTAAAAAAAACAGTTTTTTACTACAAAAAATTTTGTCGAATTAAGGGTTAATTTGTGTTCATATAAAAATTTCTTTTTATGTTAGTTCAACTCCGTTTTCTATTTTTAATATTACAAAATATATGATAGAAAATAAAATTATCCTGCAAAACCTTTGAACAATTGTCACTAGACTCACGAAAGATTTCAACGGATTTTCACGCAAGGTCGTTTGAATGTCATTATATTTGCAGCTATCCCCACTGGGGAGCACCGCGACTACCCTAAGTTGGGGTTACCTAGGTTGACTGTGCGGGTTGATTGACGTTAATTAAAAATATTAGGCACACTAAGTAATTTGCTATTGCATATTAAATACGAATAAAAAATTACACATTAAATAAATATAGTCAATATTTAAAAGTCTTCGTAATTAAGCAATTAAAGCAATTTTTAAAGAACATAATATTATGAAAAAAGATAAATTATAAATTGATTTAAAAATTTCTACTTTACAAAAATTTAATCGGTAAAGTAAGAAAATTTATAATAAAATTATTTTTGTATTGCTACGCCATCATTTAAGTTAGTTACAACTAACGCCATCTAGTGTAAGTAACCTGAACTAAGAAGTGAATCGTAAAAGCGCAATTAAAAAACAAAGTGCATTGCCAAAAACGTCATTTCATGGCGACATAAAATAACATAAGATTAAAAAGCTTTAAAAAACCTAAAAATAACTTTGACCACTTTTAAATACTTTTCTGAGAATTGAAATCGAAAATATAAATAATCTTAACTCTAAAATAGTTTAGTTTTTAAAAACACAAAACTTATAGTAATGATGCGGTGATAAAAAACATAAAGTAAACAGTGGTAGAGCCCGCTTTAACATCTTCGCACGAATTGTCACGGCTCGCCCGGTGAAATACCACAACCACACAGAAGACACGCCTCAAGTGGAAGCTATTCCAAGTACAGTCTGATGAGTGTGCGTCCCGGAGGCCTTAATTAGTCCCCTTTCCCTACTCACCCTTTTTCTTATAAGGAAATGAGTGGAAGTGGACTTTCCGGATTAGTTGTATTTGTTTCGTCAATACCTATTTTTCAGTTCTTGCTTTTTACCTTTTAGACTTGTTAAACAGTAACTAATTATCTACCAGTTAACTTTAACTATTTGAATATAATTTTCATAACACCACAACTTGTAGTTATTTTATAGTAGAACCCCGGTAATATGAACACATTTGATACGATCTCTTGCATAATACCCCAATTTACATAGGTTTTTGCAACTTGAGACACATTTTTATGCATTTCTTAATGTATTACTGGGGTTCTACTGTATTAAACGGTTACCTTGAAATGTTGATGTGCTGCCTGCTCCTCAGCATCGTAGATATGCTTGATGTTTTCAATACGCATCTGCTTCAAAATACCCGCCACCTCGATCCTATGTGAATAATAATAATAAATCAATAGCAGTCGCCCGCAACATCTCGGTATTAAAAAAAACTCAATTAGTCGCCTATGTGTTCTCCCATGACTATGTTCTATATCTATACTAAATTACTATGAGATTTGTGTAGCAGTTATGGAGATAACTTCTAACAAATATCCATTCATACATCTAAACTTTCACATTTATAATGTTATTAAGATAAGAACATAGAAGAAACACTATTTGTTTAGTGCTTTAAGCCTAAAGATTGTGGTTAGTATCAAGATGCATCTTCATGATAGACAAGTGTTTTTGCTAATTAAATTTTGCTATGTTGCTAATTCTAGCTTCATCAGTTCTTAACATGTATTTGATTGAGCCTGGTTGGCAACAAACAATAATATAATATAATAGGACCTAAAACTCTATGTTAATGTAAACCAAATACATTGGAATGCCTTTTAATTTTGATATTAATTTGAATACATGCCTGTAAACAATACATACCTAACACGCATATTCTCTTGCAGTCGTCTCAAAGGACCTAAGTACTCCTGTGATCTGCCACCACGGACTTCTGCGAGCTGGTACTCCACATGCTTCACCCTTTCATTGTACAGCTGTTCTCTCAGTAATGAGAACTGATGCTCCAAGTTTGCTGGAAACCCATATTTTACAAGTATAAGAATTCTGTCATAAATTTTAACATGAAATGTAGATTGCAAATTATTTTTATAAACACTTATAAGTTAAATAAGTAATTTGGTATTTCTTTTTACAAATTTTACAAACTCTTTAGGCTTGTCATAGCCTGCCCTGTTCCAGGGGGTTGCTAAGTTATCGAAATTAGAATGCAATAAGTCAGAACCTGCCTCGGAAAAACAGAAGCTTGCTCCCTAATGTTTGTAAACATAACCTTAAAACGTCAATTAAACTTACACAAATTGTCAAGGCATTCGCTGCGCCGCCGCTCACACTCACTCTCGTCCATCTCGGAGGAATCATCGGAGTCCGGTTCATCAGCTTCTTCTGCACTGGAATCACGATCTGGCCCTCTAGAAGACCCACCAGATCGTTCAGTATCCCCGCCAGACAAATCTCCATCGCCATCGCTGTCTCCTTCAACCTTCATGGAAGGCATATTGATTTAGAAGAATACAAATGAATAGTAGTGTTTTGAGGATATATTCTTTTATGTCTAAACTTTCGCTCCGTTCCAATTTTTATACACAAACAGAAGGTAAAATGTCATACGTCAGATGTAAACGTCACGGTCATAGATGTCATATAGAGTTGTGACCGTATCGATTAATTTTAAACCAAAATTGTCTATGGCTTCATAACCGCCACAATTTCATTACGATTTTTTCTACTGATACGCAGTGAACTTCCCCAGTTTTGGATCCTACTGGATTGCTACTAGACATTTATTCTGATATAATAGTCATTATATTATAACAGGCTAAAACAGATTTAATGTTATTATATAAAATCATAAACAGTGTTGTCATGGCGCCAGAATTAATAAGCAAGATTGAGCTACTTGTCCCTCGCAATGCGTCTAAAAATGTAGTAGATGTAGCAGAAAAAGAGATACGTTGATGGTTCGTCGTTATCGCTCAAACGTAGGCAGAAATGCACCTATCAATAGGATTTCATGTGAATTCAATAAAACTATTAATCATTTACCGGAGATAGACATTTTTTCTGATTCAGCGTCATCTTTTCTTAACAAACTTAATACTATTGTTTCATTAAATCCGATTAGGTAATATTTATTTTATTGTTACTTATATTTAAATATGTATTTCTAAATTAATCCACTGACTGTAACCGTGTATTGATGTCAAACTCTTTATATGTATGTAAGTTCAATATTGTTTATAGTTTGTTTGTTTTTTTTTCTCTAGCACTTTCTTTATTTACGCGAATGTTGTGTTTGCCTGTAATTGAAATATGTTATAGCTTACTCTTTATTATGTAACCTATGTACTAAGTAAAATTGTATGTAACATATTTTATTGGCATTCCTAAATAAATAAATAAATATTCTTTCCCAGAGTAATATAGGATTAATCTAATTAACAATATGATAGATAATAGACCGACTGTTTAACTGATCCGGTGGACATGAGTAATTCTACACTATATCAGCTCACTAACGCCTCCCTCGCAAATTTAAAGTGTCTCAAGATCCTTGTTATACAGTATTTTCAAAGAAGACTGCTGAGAAGCCCGGCGAGAGAGACCGTAGCCCGGTGCGAGAGGCGCTGCTATCGTGTTTTGTTCAACCCAGATAAGCTTGTCACACTTTTATTGTTGTTATTCATATTTTTCCGTGCATTTTTTGTTGATTTCGAATTAAGGTATGTGAATCTTTGGTTATTGTGTGAACAAAGCGTTTACTTGGCAATGTCCATATAATCCCAAGCTAATTTAGCGCGTACTTCTTTAAATCATATAACTTGTTTAAACTCAGTAAGTTAGGTATAGGTGTGGCATTTTTTGTGGTTTAGTTTGATTTGGATGGTGGAGAAAATAAAAGAAGGTACATTTATGATATTAAATTTAATAAGTACTCTATTATTTACACAGAATTGTTCTCTATTAACATGTTTTTATAATATATTCATTATTTATTCAATTGTTAATATTATTTACAGAGCTATTTATAAATTAGATAATATCAATACTGTGAAATCCCGACAAGTCTGCGTTCGCAAGCGAGCGCGCATGAAGCAATGTTGCCATGTCCCTGCTTGTCTCATGCGCGCTCCGAGCAACAATAAAGATACACAAGATAGAACAAAACAGTTAACAATTTTAGCACCTCCACAGGCTATATTTGAATTTATACTCCGATACATAATAACTTACAAATTACAATAAAACGCATTTTCACAATCAATTTTAAAAAACACGATTACACTATATCCCAAAAATCACACAACAAAGTGGTCACTATTCGAGATACTACAAACGTACACGATAAAAATAAACATTGTTAATTTATATATTGTGATAACGTCAAATGATAAATTTCATACAACGCCCGCAATCCATCGCGGCCATTTTGTATTTGGCACTATATCATTTGGAATGCATATTTTTTTTCTACTTACAAGTTAATTGAATTTAAAAATCGTGGACTTTTAAAAACTTGGTTTATAAATAGTTTTTAAAACATTAATTTATAAACAAATTAATTACCGCATTATTATTGTAATCGATTCTAATAAATTCAGATTTGATTAAAACTACGATTGGGTAAAATTCCTTTAAAATAATCACAAATTTCGTTCAATTCAATGGAATAAAAGATATACAATATTGAATAGAACTTTAAAATTGTAACAAATCTCTACAAATATAGGTAAATGACAAACTTTTGTGACAAAATTTCGTGAAGCATTATCGAAACATTTACAAGGTTCGAGAACTTGGCTGCTGTTTTAGAAATGTTGTTGTTTTCTTCCAAACCCGCAGTGTAAAACAACGTATATTTGTTTGTAGTTTTTGATATACAAAGTTATAATCTGATAAATTTAAGCGAAAAATATGGGTACATTAAAATAGTATTTTTGACAAAAAGGAATTTTATTTTGGCCACTTTGATTTACTTTAATATAAAAACAGATATGTCGTTGTACAGTAGGAGATTACATGGATATAAAATATTGCTTTTCTACTCACTATTATAGCGATATAATCTTAGTCAAATTTATTTCAATGATTTAAATTTTCTATACGAAGAGTAATGTCTCTCGTTTTAGAAAGAGAAATTCACAAAGGCTATCTACTTATGATTTTTGAAAAGTTCTATATTTTTATTTCTACTGTATAAATTTTGACAATAGACAAGTTTATGGTTAATAGTTTTTTCTTATTTTATAAAACTATAAATTCCGTTGCTTTATTGTTTATGGTTTAATCTTTGACGTTTAAATTAATGAAAGGCACATCACTAAAATTTTCGGTTTCGAAAAAAGGAAGCATCTGTACGTAAAAAACAAACACGAATTTCACTATTCAGTTTAATTCAAGAGTAACAAATCACAAAGTGCTTTTTTAGAGTTTCTGTAAAAAAATAGTCATAATTACAAAAAACAAAATGGTGTTTGCCTTTTTACATATTATTTTTCAATAAAAAAAAATGCGTTTAATAATTTGGACTTAGCGCATTTTTCCATCTAATAAAATGAATTAACGTTAACATCAGTTTTTGATAATTTACAACGTTTACGAATAAGGCAGTATATTTGTTATTATTTTTTATTCAAACCTGCTATCTATAAACTAGAAACACAGATTTGATTAAATCCTAGAATAAGACCACAGGGCGAATTATTGCATTAAACTGTCATGACTGAACGTATTTTTTTTCCTTTACTTTTCCATTCTTCGCTATTTACACGGAAATGGTACATTTGTAACAAAGCGGAATATTCGGAAGACTTTGATTTGATCCATTGTGAGCTTATAAAGAAGTTACACTTTGATTTTACATCACATATTAATTTTGGTAAATAAATTTTACAAAGAAAAACTAACATGATAGCTTTAATAACATAATCAATGTTACAACACTGTTTTATCATGAAAAAAACTTATTTCGGTACTAAAATGCCATTTCCGTGCATTTTCATATCGATTTTCGAATAATACTCGTTACACACGAAATATCGATTGTCGTTCGTCGGTTCTCACTCGATCCGCGCGGACAAACCGGTTTCCAAATCCAAACGTTTACCTTTAATCAAACAAGGTAGCTTTGGGAGCACATCACTAAACTTTATAACATCGAGTTCGCACTTATCACTGATCACATCACTATTCAGAGGCGGAGTTTCGCGCCGATTTAAAAAAGCGAGCAAATGTAAAACCATTCGCTGTGCCGTTAGATACAGCTTGTGAAGTATCGATATACCGAGTCGTAGAATCGATGTCTCGGTATCGTATGTACGGATAGCGTTGGGGGCGCCAGTGTGCGGGCGCTAGGTGTGCTTGAGCCAGTGCGCGGGCACCCACTGCGGCTCGCGCTCCAGACTGTTGATCTCGTTGAGGAGCTGCTGGTAGGCGCGCTGCGTGTCGTTGTTGATGATGATCATGTCGAACAGGTGTCCCCAGCGCAGCTCCATGTCTCGCGCCGTCGCTATTATTTCTTTTAATTCCTCCTCCTACAAATATATAACACTTTGATTATTTTTTAGGTTATTTAAATGCATACTTATTTAAGAATACTTCTATTATGATTTACGCTGTTTTTATACTAAGATATAATCACCGCCCGTTAGTTTCTTAGATCTAAAATTCTGTATAAACATATTGTCATTATTTTTGACAAAACTGATATAACAATATGTTTTAAGAGATTTGGTCTCAGAAACCCACGATTCACTTTATTGAGGTTGCAGATTCGTTTACTAGTTGAGTTTGTGTGTACCTTAAAGGCCTCTCCGTTACGTATCTTCTTCTGTCGCAGCTTCTCCAGCGAGGGAGGTGCGACAAACACAGTGTAGGGCTTGAGGTCCGAGGCGCGCAGCAGCCGCAGCGACTGCGGGTGCAGGTTCAGTACGCAGATCTTGCCCGAGCTCACCACCTCGCGGATCGCCTCCAGAGACGTGCCTGTATTCACTCAATTCGTTAACTTAAAGTTAAGCTAAAAGCATTAAAGTTGTTTTAAGTCTTTGGTTTGCCTTATGTTATTTATAATATGGTATAAGTTACCGTAGTACGCTTTCTCATATTCTCCATGCTCGACGAACTTCCTATTCAATATGTCAGCCTCGAACTGCGTGCGGGAGATGAAGTGGTAGTCCTGTCCCGGCACCTCGTGATCCTTGCGCGGGCGCGACGTGTCTGCACAGAGAGGTAGCCGCGTTACATACACGTGCAGGTGGTGTGCAGGTGGTGTGCAGGTGAGACAGGTGTGGAGGTGCAGGTGAGACAGGTGTGGAGGTGCAGGTGAGACAGGTGTGGAGGTGCAGTACTGACGCGGCACGGCGGCGGCGAAGCGCGCGGCGTCCTCCATGAGGCGCTGACGCAGCTCGTGGCGGCCGATGTTGGGAGGTCCGATGAGCACGATGGGGCGCTTGTGTGAGGCGCGCGGGTAGTACAGCGCCACCTCCTCGTACGTCAGGATCTCCTCCTGCTCGTACTCTGCAACATATACCACCGCTTACACATCATCCTCATCCGCCTCCAAGGACCATTCGGCCGAGCACCGAGCAAACACTTACAAAATTTACTTAATCAGTCGCTTTGTATAGTTTTTTATACATCTGCTTGAAAACAGTTGGGCATTTCTCATGCTAAATCTACACTATAGAGAGCATTTAGTGACTCTGAGTAGGACAGTAAGAAATATTTATTACTGACTCTGATATTTAGAAATGTATTTCTACCAAAGGATATGACACAACCAGAGTCGCACTTACTTAAATCTGTGAAATGGTAGTTATGTAGTGAGGGTTACCTTCCCCAGCGGCGGTGGAGTAGAGCGGGTACCCGGCCTCGCTGGTGGCCTTCTTGGTCTTCTTCTTGCGCGGCGGCTTCTTGGCGCAGAGCAACGTGCCGCCCTTGCGCGGCTTGTCCCGCGCCGCCGCCTCGCCCGCCAGCGTCAACTTCATAGACTCACGTCTGGTGGGGGACAAAAACATTACTTCAGCTGGGAGTGTGCGTGCCACAGACTTATTGTTCCCTTTCCCATCCTACCCTTTTCTTGTAAAGAGAGGATGGGAATGGGAAGTCGATTTGACGGAGGGGTGGATACGTTGGTAGGGAAAATATTCTCATTCTATGCTGCTATTTCGGCGAATTTAGGTGACCGTTTATTCGTTTGCTATGTTATCACATAAAATAAAACGTTATAGTTTGTAAAGTTGTATACTGACTGATGCTGGAAGGCCTGGCTGGGGATGAGACCGGCCAGGGTCTGGTCCTCCTCGCCCTCGCGGAAGGCCTGCCACCAGTTGGGGTCGTCGCGGCTGATCACGTGCAGCACGTCGCCCTTCTGGAAACTTATGCCTGCAAACACATGATGCCTTATGTAAGGAAACAGTATTTTCATTTGCTATAAAATATTGTCCAATTCATTGATTGAGTGTCATAAAGGTTTTCAAGTATCTTGCCGGGTCGGTGTTGTTGCAGAGAAAACAATATTAAGTTGCGTAAGATGGCACTACGCATCGCGCACATGTCCTTGAGCCGCCTAGATATATGAAAAGAATTATACTAGGAAACATTTTATAAATGTACCTAGTTCTCGACATGGTATGTATACGTCGTCCTCGGGGTCGTAGTCGAAGTGCGCGCGCACGTGCAGCACGCGGTGCGCGGCGCGCTGCGGCTGCGTGGTGCGCGTGCCCGCCGCCGCCAGCACCACGGTCAGCGTGCCCGCCAGCGCGCCTAGCACCTGGCATACCTCGTGCACTGACTTGCCCCTCATTGACACGCCGTTCACTTCCAGCAGCTGGAATGTACACACTAGTTATAAGTACTCTTTGAAGTACCAATAGACTAATGATTAAATGTACACACATCCGATCACGTAATCGGGTTCGAATCCTAGCACAAGGCTAGAATTTTGGTGAAATGGTTACAAAAAACATTAGTTAGTTTAAGATTTAAATGAAGCTAGCAAACAAAAGATTTGAAATAGCGAAAGGGTAGGGTTAGATATTTATTGAAAGTAGAAGCAAGTATTTGTTCACCTCGTCTCCTTCGTGCAACAAGCCGGACTTCTCCGCGGCGCCCCCGCGCACTATCCTGCCGATGATCACCGCCTCGCCCTCGTTCCTCACTGTAGCACCTGACACACAACCACGAACACCACATCTTGTTACACATATCACCGTGTTATGATACTAGAATCGACGTCTTTGATGTAACGTGTGAAAACTTATAAAATCAGGTCTATGGCTTAGGAGAAGGTAACGGAGGTAAAGATAAGGTTACCAAAACCTAATTCGTTTTATACGATTTTTAGAATTTTCTATTAGGTCTTGGTATCGTGTGTTATTTTTGTACATCATCATTAACTCACTATACGTCCCCACTAAGGGTCTCGCAGCCTACCCTAAGTTAGGGGTGACTAGGCCATAGTCAACCACACCGGCCCACTACGGGTTGACTTCACACATATCTTTGAATTTCTTCTCAGATATGTGCAGGTTGCATCACGATGTTTTCCTTCACCGTAAGAACCTCGGATAAATGTACATATTTAAATCGGAAACATATTGGTACATGGCGGGATTCGAACGTAGGACCTGCAGATGCAAGATGCTCGACCCTGAGCCACCAACGCTCTTATTTTTGTACAAGGCGTAATTTATTATACTACCTTCAATCTTAAAAAGCCTTACAAACATAGGTTTTATGTTTGTAGTTAAATGTTTTATAGTGTAACATATTTTGTGTACTTTACGTACAGCTTACTCGCAGTGATATCAGTGCACACGAGATTGAGTTAGGTAACCCGGGGGGCTACACTTAATGGAGTTAAAGTGTTTAGTGACTTCCGCCTCGCGGCACATATTTAACTGGACAACGTTTATTACGTCACACCTGTGCCATTGAAACTTATGTCTATATTGAAAAAATCTATTCTAGCTTTTAGTTATCTTTCTAACACTGTTATGGTTACACGATGAACTAATACTTGGTAATTTTATATGGTTAAAAGTCTTGACAAGTAACAACAATGGCCTACACTGGTTATTACAAATATCTTACCAAGTGGTTCATTAGTCTTCTCTATTTTGATGATTTTAATTTGTTCGCTTGCGTCATCGGACGCGAGCGCTTTATCTCCGTTTTTGTGATCCGCGTTTCCAGTCTGCAATTCAACAATTCAATATTAACACAAAATACCGCTAAGTGTCACTTAGATAGATATTAAAATCAATCAGAGGTCGAAATTGTCTTATGAGAGTTACTTATAACACAACAGGAAGTTCATATTATCGCCACTCAAGAAATTTGTGAGTTTTCTTGAAGGACCTTACAATAATACTAATACTTTTTAGTTTTTATTACAGTAAGTGTGAGATTTGACCAGTTCTAGTTGACCTTATATTTGTTGGTCCGCGAAAAGCAGGCGGGGTCGAGCAGCGTGGCGGCCTGGTCGTGCGCCTGCGCAAGGCTCTCCAGCTCCAGGCTGCCCAGCAGCGCCAGCAGTTCCGCCGCCAGCGCCGCGCTCTCCCCGCTCGCCGCCAGGGGGCGCAGCGAGTCTATACACTGACAACACAACACAATATATCTTACTAATATTATAAAGGTGAATATTTAGATGCATGTTTGTTTGAAGGTGTCTCCAGAACGGCTGCATGGATCTCGCTTAAATTTGGCGTAAATGTCGAACATAGCCTGGAAGACTACGCGCGGACGGAATCGCGGGCGACAGCTAATACTTTCATAAATCTTTACTTCATATCAAAGTAAATAAGTCTGGTCTATTAAAGGCCAGCGCACTTACTAACGGGGCGGCGCCCCTCGTTCGGGACGCATATGAGCAAACGACATATCTTACGGTCCTTAAGTATTTTGCAGACGGAAAGAAAGAATTCTTAAGAGAAAAACGACAAGAATGTTTAACATTTTAAGCCCATACAAGACCTACTTAAAGCGTCTTCACGTTTTGTAAGTGCTTTCAAGTACAGTGCCGTGCAAAAGTATTTACTTTCAAGTTCCATGAAGTATTTTCTAAAACGATTTGATTTTAATTATCTGTAATTCATTCAAGTGACACAATTTAAAATGGTGTTATCCCTTACGTTCCTATTAAAAACAAGCGAGATAACAATATGTTTTTGTATTAGGTAGTGGAAACTCTCGGTAAACATGCCTTAAGCTACTTTTACAGTATAATGTAATGCATTCCGAATGAGTTTAGAAGATGAAGTGTTAGGACTCGTGAGAAATTCAGAGACTAAATAGCAAATATTTGAAAGTTCAACTCGAAAATTTCAATTTCTTTTACTGCTACACTCAAGAAAACCTTAGTGTAGATTTCTTTCTTGAAACCTTTCCTTAGTGTGACAATTAGAATAGTGTGAAAATAAGAAGTTTAGGACTTTAATAATTTGGTCGATATTTTGTTGTACCGTTGAGTCTTAGGAAAGATTAATTGAGAAACCATATAGTAGAAATTCCTACGAGAATTAATAAATATTTATGATTATTTAAAACGTATTTGATCAAAGTATTTCGTTCGGGGAGCTTTAAAATTTGTAATAACGCGAGAGACGAGACGGGTTCGGAGCGCGCCTGTCGTGAACTGGTGACGTCATCTCTTACTCGTATTAAATTCGGAAAATTCAAATCGGAAAACTAATTTGTGAGTGATGCGTTTACGATGTTTGATGAAAATCGGAACGACGGACGGAAATGACGAAGATTCTGTAATTTATCTGGAAATTTTCCTAACTTTTTTGTAGTCAAATTGATTTTTAGTCTCTTGTATTATTGATACGATTATTGTAGATCAATTGTTAGTTTACGTTCTCATAATCGTAATTCTTATGTACCTATGGATAATATGACTGAAATTTGGCACAGCGTGAGATTACAGTATAGAAGAAGCTACCATTTTTTTAAGTATAAAATTTAAGGAGCACTAACATCTCTAAGCCTGTCCCCCGCGCGGCCGACAGGTGGCGGTAATGGTCGCACGCGCAGCACGGCGGAGCGCGTGCGCAGTGCGGCGCGCAGGGGACTCCCCGCCGCCGCCAGCAGCGTCGCTGCGCCCGCCGCGCCCCGCGCCGCCCCCGCACATCCCACACCCGCCGCCTGTAGTGCAGACTGCAGCCGCGAGAGAGCCGCTATCACATCCTCGTAGTCTGGAACAGAGATATTTATTAGAAAATCTATTGACTAGAACATCATGACCAAAGAAACGATTATTTTGCTACAATACACAAACAGCATGTGTCTTAATAAAGATTCATCGTAGCATTGCATTTATATCATTAAATTCATCCATATTGTAGTTCAGATCATTATACATCATGAGACTTGGATCTAGTACCAGATCAAGATGAGAATCTGACATATTTTGAAAGTCAAATCTTATATTTAGAATAATTAGTAGACAATCTTATTAATCGACCAGAATAGTGACAAAATGTGATGTTGATGGATATACGATTAGATGTAGGTAGTATTGCCAGGCGTCCGGAGAAGCCGGCTTTTTGATTGCATGTCCGGCCAAAATAAAGGGTTCGAAAGTCCGGCCAAACTGGCTGGTTTGCTATTAGGTTTGACGACTTGGTAACACTAGGTGTAGGTATAAAATGCTGTCCCCAGTAGTCCTTGGTAGACAAAAGATCAGATGATTGTTATTATTTCTTATCATTGTTATCGAGCAATCGCTTATCATTTTTATCTTTTATGACGAATTATTTTAGTTTACATATTTATCGTTATCAATATGGAAAATCATATCTGTTGAACACACTATATCAAGTTTAATTCACCGACAAATCGCGAATACCGTCCTTTTGTAATAAGCCTTGCTAAATTGTAAAGAATCGCCAAATTGAATATCGAACGAATTCATTCACAATGTGACACAATTTTTCAATTTGTCAAGTCTTTACAATTTTCATCTGGGAATTACACACGGACATCATTCACGATCATACGGTGAATATTAATAAGATTTTCGAAACATTTGTTTAAAAAATCACATCATAATATTTGCTTGATGAAATTTAAAACAATTATAACTGTTCAACAATGCACGAAAGAAATAATTCCTTGTTTTATTATAGTGGAATGAAGATACATTTTTGCCGAGCTCTATTTTAATTGGAAAGGATATTTCTCCGCACTAATTGTCGTGTTATTGAAGAAAGAGACGTCCGTTATCTTTGACTTTTAAGAAACAGGACCTGTTAAGCGCGCTTTTCCCTCTGTCAAAAAAAACTAAATAATAAATCTAAACTTGCTTGCGTATTTGCGAGCATGAATTAATCTGATTATCATCTTTACTTTTCAAAAAGTAGCAGAATTTAAAAAAAAACAGCGGGTCTTTGCTTAGTCCGTTTCTCTATAATCAAAGGTTCTCGTAGCTAGTTCAAAGCGTCTCTGTAGCTAAATAATTAATTATCTTTTATCGTAGCCAAAGCTCATTAGTAGCTTGTTTTCTTTTTTACGTTTTACCTTTAGGGAATGTAGAAAAGATTCCTGACAATTTGTACTGCTTTGGTTCAATATTTGTGGTATATGATACTATAATATGTAAAATTTTTAAAAAGAGTATTTCCTGATTACGAACCTCATCAGTCTTGGCAATAGTCAATGTTGAAATATTGACTATTCTCGTTATTTTTGACATTTTTATTCATATCTAAATATCGTTAAAGCAGACGATAAACCATTTAACCAGTTCGGATTATTTTTGCAACATCATTTTGAGCTGTACAGCACGGTTACAAACAGCTATCAAACTAGCACAAAATACTTAGTCTTATAACCAGTCTATATTTAGATATCAGTGAGTTACTATTTGTTAGTTTTACTTACCAATAATAGTATATAATGGTGATACTTCATCGATATCTTCTTCGTAGGCATCATTGACAAATGCAGTGCCCGCAGGTGTGGACTCGAGCGCCTGCAGCTTGTGTGAGCCGCGCAATGAAGTTCGCAGGAACTCATTCTGTGCAGCGATCCGCTCCTCAGCCTCTTTACGTTGACGTAGTTGTTCCTGGAAGACAACAACATATTAGTTAACATAATATATATAATACACTAGCTGTTGTCCCTGACTCCGTTCGCATTGAATTAAAAAAAACTTAATTAGTAGACTATGTGTTTTCAGGACTGTTTTTTACATATATGTCAAGTTTCATTGAGATTCATGAAGCTGTTCTGGAGATACCTTCAAATAAACAAACATAATCAATCAATCCATCCAACTATCCAAACATTCGCATTTATAATATTAGTAAGATTATTTGAGGGGCATTTAAGCAGTGGGACTTTTTATAGAAGTCACTGGTTTCCATGAATATACAGAAGAACTGCAGATGCGTTTCCGGTTAAGCAAAAGATACGTTACTTAAAGAAAAAAAATTGTACCTCAATTAGTAACTATAAAGTGGATTAAATTTAATCGGAACATGTGAAAGAAACAGAAAAACAGCAATTAAATGACAATACTAATACTAAACCATTTTATAATCTGAATTTCTATTAGGATTATTGTAATTACGTAAAGTAAAATCTCTAATAAACTCGTAACGAAACCCCACATTAATTCAAAGTTAAGACTTTCTGATGACGTCACGATTCGGCACGAGGAAGGCATTCCTTGTGTAATTGATTGCACCCACAGGGCTTCCATTGTGTAATGCCTTTGTTATCCAAAATACATGAATGATTAAAATACTTAATTAAATTCCCATCTTTGTCTGTTATCAGTCAAAAACATTTTTAAAACTATTTTATATTTAAAAAAGAAAAGGAATCTTTTTTTGGGTAAAATGATTTTAACCGTGAATTTTTACATTCGAAATTTCAATGTAAAAACAATGACAATATTTTCGGCTGTCTTCAGTTGTGTTATTTTATATCAAAAAGTGGCAAACGAGCGAGCGGCCACCTGAAATCGCTGAAAGAGCGAAGTGACCGTTGCACATAGACATACGCAAGCATATGCGTTGCCTACCTTTAATCGACGGAGGATGCACAGAAATAAAATATTTTCCCTTCCCATGCATCCTCCCGTTCGGAAAGTCCACTTACACTTCCCATCCTTTCCTTATAAGAGGTTGGGAAGGGAAAGAGGAACACTACGGTTATTGTAACATCTAAGCTTTTGATACTAGACGATCTTAAAGCCCATGACACATTTTTTTCAATACTATTATATTATAATTATATACAAAATAAATTTTAATTGCCAATCTTCGAGCACAAAATAAATATTTAATTAATTAACTTAAATACAGTTAAATACTTATTAATAGCAAGATGTATTCGTAGCGACACAATAACACAAAGCCTTAGCGTGTGCGAGTGAGATGGCGATAGGCGTATGACGTCAGTGCACTTGCGTCACTGTACGTTGTGGCCAGGGTTGTCAAGTTCTTCGGAAGAAAATTTTATTCAAAAAACATGCGAAAATTCTGGGAAATTTCTAAAAAAAAAAGTTTTATACGTTTATATATACTTTATTAACGTATCTACTTTCCACGGTTATCTAATTGATCTTTTCACATGCAATTTAATTTATTTTTAACTACTTTAAGGAATCTGATAGTTTTTTGTTACTATATAAAATAAATAATTTACACAATATTCATTTTGTGATATATTACAAAGGATCTTTATTAATGTGGGAACCCTAAATGTGAGAGAGAGACAAAATCACGACCTCGAGCGCTGCAAAACGAATGCGCTTTAATTTAATAATTGTATAACGAAGGGTCTATGGTTCTTACAGAATTTTAAACTACTCTGCGCTGCGGTTATTCCATTTACTTTGAACTTAACCATTTGCTAGAAAACGAACAAGGAGAGACAGTTTTTTTTTAGATATGACTCGTGTTTAATATTTTTAACAAGATTAGAAATATTTAATAAACAATTGATACTTTTTAGAACTTCTAACTAAATCAATATAACAAATGTTAGATTTTTTTTAAATAAAATATTAGCAGATTTTTGTGTAAATTTACTAATATTTCTTTAACCATTCCAAATAAGCTCTAAGCTTGTGCTAGGATATGGTTTACGACAATAGTCGAATGGCGGGATTCGAACCCCCGACCTCGTGATCGGAAATCCGTACCCTTCACCATTAGGCTATTGACGCTTTTGAAGATTGTCTAAGGTCACAGCCTTGCCAATTCAGTGAAGCATATTTTATTGTATCGTTGACATTCCGTTGTGCAATGAACGATATGCCCAGCGGAGCGGACACTACTGCCTGCCATTCCTGTCTTTTATTCCTGCCTTTTCCTGCAAATGACTTTGGCACGCCGTTTGTTTTTAGTGTTACCATTTGCATGCAAGGGGAGGAAGTCCGAATCTAACCCCCCATCTCTATAACACCCCCGTATAGATTAACTACGTTGCACAAATTTGGTGAATAATCAAGGTAAAGGATGGAAAAAAATACTGTCACAAAACTAAAAAATAATTTTTTAGTGTAACGATGTTGAAACTAGTAAAAATTAGTGTTAGGAATAGTGAACTCATTAAAGATGAAGTAATAATGACTATTTTAGTTCAATGGTCGCTTATATCTGGCACTAGGCAGTGTTGTGCGAATATTATTTTTTATTTTACGCTTATTATTGAGGTTACAAGCAGTTTTTTACTGTGTTGAATCTCTAGTACATAATGTCACAAAACAAGAGCAGCACCGTGGGAAAACATGTTGCAGCTAACAATACTTACCGAATAGGCCTTTATCCTTTCTGGGTCAACGTCATGCTGCGAGCGAGCCTGCGCCCGCGGCGATGACGACACCATACTCTAAATCACGATCGCTCTATGGCTGACACTTTACACTCTATGGTCAACGTTCTATGCTCTATGGCTAACGGTTTATCCAGTTCTGACGCGACGCCATACCGTCGTGACGTGCGCACTATAGAGAACCTCACAGGTTAACAGTATGCTTTTTGTCGGAAATGACGAATGATCATTCGATTGCCTTAAGCCGGTTACGACCGCTTTCAATATTTACGACAGCATAATTAATTACATGTGTTTTGCATTCCTGGTAGGCGATTGTTTGCTAAATTTTATAAATTCAATCTTCGTTACAATGCTTGATGTTTATATGACGGACAGAAGAACCAAATTTTCACCAGTTTCGTCTTTCGACATAACATGTAGGACAAAAGATTTTTTACCACTTCAATTCTAAATCCCTACAACTGAAGCGTTATCTAAAATATAAAATATTTCGCGAGATGTTTTGAATCTAATTGTTTGTTATAAGAACATAAGAACGCATAAGGGATCAATTACAGAAAATCGTACGTAGTTAACGGAAAACTTTTAATAGAAACAACCAGCCTTTCATTAAAGGAACCTGGCGTTGTTTTAAATTTACATTCACCTATCTAAATATGTTACGAGTGAATTATACGAAATGTTGCAATACGTTTTGGAAGCACAATACATACTTGCGTCAGAACGTTGCATATGTTTGGAAGTTAGTATTGTAATGGGCTTAATTTGGATAACAATGTTTTTATATGTAAATACATAAATCACACAACTGACGACTAATCTGATATATAGTTACATTTAATATAATCTATAACTTTTAAGACAAAATTAAGTTTGTTTTTTGACAATTGATATATTGTTGTCTCAACTTTTTAAAACAAAACGAGGGGGATAAGAATATGTTTTTGGATGCGTTTTCCGGCGTTGAAACGTAACAGTGACATTCCTTAGACCAAACGGCATTACTAATTATTAACTGAAATAATAGATTTATATTCATCTTCTTATTATCGTATCAGTTTGGATTTTTTGTTTTTTATTTAATACTGGTCTATTTACAGTTCTTAGTTTTTATTTCATAGTAATTTTGTTGATAGATAAATGTATAAAAGTATTTCTAGAGCGTATTAAAGTTAATTTAAATCCAAGTAAACTATGTTGAGTTAAGGAAGGTCAAACGTTTCGTTAATAGAATGTTACATTAGAGCGAGCACGGCCCGCAAGGTCGCTACGTTTAATATCTTTTGATAATATATTTTCAATATAAATTCCATTCTACTAAATATTAATTCACTTTATAGAGCCACAAAGTTACTATAAAAATTCAACGACACAGTAAAATTCTAGTTATTTTTGTATCACAACGACTTTTTAAAAATGTACTATGTATAAGAATCAATTATGAGAGCACCTAAAACTAAAAAGATTTGTATTCGAGTACTTAACTTGCAATCTGAAGGTCCCGGGTTCGAATTCCACTATGTACCAATGAGTTTTTTGATATCCAATTTACATATTTACGTTTACATCCGACGTTGTTACGGTGAAGGAAAACATCGTGATGCAACCTGCACATATCTGAGAAGAAATTCAAAGATATGTGTGAAGTCAAGATGCACTAGACTCGCGTGGTTGACTATGGCTGACTAGGCCTTTACTTAGGGCCCTTAACTTAGGGTAGACACCAAGTCATCAGTGGGGACATAAGATGATGATAAAATTAACAAAAATATTGACTTTCTCTAACATAAAATGAAAACTTAACAGAGGTATTGCAAAGCTTAACAACACTAGCTTAGTTAATAAGTTGGAATAAGTGTTTAGACGAATTGAGATACTTTAATGATATTTTATCTGTGCTATAACAAGATTTCGACATATCAATAATGTGTGTTATCGGTACTCGATAGCACAGATAATGATCTCTGTATATAGCACAACATAGCGATGCTGGTAAGAATTTAATAAGGTAAATCTAGTGCCGGTTCTTATATAATATTATTGAAAAACCAAAAAAAACAGCACTATATGACAATCAGAGGTAGAATACGAATATAAAAACATATCACTCTCTATAATAGATTTAGGCTACAGGATGTTACGAAATTAACATATAATTATTAAACGTCAAATGTAACATGTACAAGGAAGATGTAATAGTTATTACCGTTTTTAATCAAATATCATTATTGTAGAAGTTACTTAACTGACATCATTAATAAATAGTTACCTTAAATAATGTATGGGTAAACTTTCTAATGACATTTAGGTTATGGTTATGGAAGCGACCGATGAACCTTCAACGTAATATCTTAATCTTTTCGTATTAAAATGAAACTTCTAAATTCTGATTAGTACCAAGTTGATTTTTAAACACTTTTTTTTAAAACAAACATAAAATGTATATTTTTTATTTATAGTATTTGATGAAGTAATTTTTAATTGCTAACATAAACCAGTCACGAATAAATTTAAAAAGTATAATATCAGAAGTTGCCTTGCATTGTTTGAAAGACCACATCAATATTATTTATCTTTTTAAAACGATAACACATTGTTTATGGTTATGTCAATTTGACATTGAAACGCATTTAAAAGGACATACTGTAGGTAGAAATAATAAAATTCAGGTGAAATGTCTATTGAATGTTGTTACAATATGAACGTTTTGAATGAAGAAAGTTTGTGTTGATACAGTAAAGGCGTGGGAATTGTGAAGTGGCTGTAGAATACAAACAGATAAAACAAACCAGAGACAGCGGCCGATACCCTGACACGATTGTCTATGTTAACAATACCTGTCAAATATACTCCCGTTACATTTTAATTAAATAAAACAATTATGAGCCTATGTATTTATAGCCGCAGTCAGAGGCCATTGATGTTGATGCGGGCTTCTAGTAAGAAATCTCCTCTTATGAAGTTCTTAGTAACAATTATGCTACTATGATTTTGAGTTTGTCTACCACTTTTTCCTATATTGTTTGTTGTAATATTTTGACTATTATTCCCAATTATAATTAAACGATACTTAAAAATAGTTAGTGCAGTGCGTACTAAAATAAAGTTGAAAAATTAAACGAAAATCAGCACAGTTAAATACCAAATCAAACTTCAGTTTCTAACTGGCCGCAAAATGAAAATTAGCAGTTCGATATTTGATTACGAAAGTTTGTGAAATTTTATCCATTTCGAACTTTTAGTTGAAAATAAAAATTTAATTTCAGATTCTCGCAGTTGCAGTGTAAACACTAGGCCGATGGTAAATATTTTTACAACTGGGCTCGAGGCACGATTTTCATTAACTAGACAGTTGTGATTTAATTAAAAACATCCATATTTTGTACACTGTATAGTGTTCGTTGCGATGTTAATTGTTTTTGTGAAAACAAACATGACGATTATAACCACACAGAAAATAATTGGAACACAACATATAAAAACGAGAAATCTTAAAATACCTGATCTCCTTGATATTTGCGACAAAGACAGAAATGCTTCAACCTGTCAACCGAACTACAACATCTGGACGTATCCAGTAAATACGCGTTCAAAGTCTGCATCACCTTCGCCATGTTCACTTTAAAAAAAATACATTGCACTATGGTACATTGCGCGGGAAAATTGACAATGACAGCTTTTTTAAATTTCGATGATGAATTGTTTTTGTTGGCTTTGTTTGCGTTATCAAAAAACGTGCAAACGTTGGAGAAATAATGCGAGCACTGCCGTTATCAGAGGCTATCTCGATCCTCGGGTTTGCCACGGCAGATATAACGAGGGCTGCCAATTTTTTTACAAGGTGTTAAACGATCGAGAGGCCAGCTGTAATCAGAATCTACAATGAGTTGGAAAGCAACAAATAGGTTTCCTAAGTTGAAGGGCCAGGGGAAAAGAATGTACAAAAATATCCAATACATTCTCTTCCCCTGTAGCTTTCCCTTCTCTTTCCTTATTAGTAATTTTTGTGCCCGAATTCGTTTCGTTTGCAAAGTGCATATTTGCTGCGGGTTTTGCATCAATGTCTTTTGCTCAGGATATGATTTACGTAGATGTGATGATCTTAAAGAAGTCAAGTGACAAGTGATTGTACGTCATTTGTTTGCAGGTTCGGTTTTATTTTAGGTTGGCAACCCTAGATATAACTTGCGATGTTTTGTGCGGACGATAAAGAGTTTTACGGCGCGCGTTTGCCACGCCGCTGTACACTTTACTATACAATTTTATAAAGGCTCTTGAAACTTTATTTGTTAATATACAAAATGTAATCAGATATTACGTAGCAAGATAATTTTAATTGAGGAAAATTTGTATTAATTCATAAATACTAGGACTTGTCGACTCGACTTATCATCATTAAATAAAATGGAGATTTTCCACAAAACGATGCGAGGAAAATCTAGAATTAGCCAATGTTGCTAAAGTGATCCTGTTTCTCATGCATAAAAGAAATTAAAGACAGATTGAGCTCGGGAGACCCATCTTAGATAAGAATGTAAAGATAGACATGCTACGGATTTATAATTATTATTGTGTATTATATTCCAAGTCAAGTGCTTAACCCATGAGCGTTGGTGGCTCAAGGGTTAAGCACTTGACTTGCAATCTGCAGGTCCTGAGTTCGAATGCCGCCATGTACCAATGTGTTTTTCGATGTTCGATTTACATACGTACATTTGTCCGACGTTCTTACGGTGAAGGAAAACATCGTGATGCAACTTGCACATATCTGAGAAGAAATTCAAAGATATGTGTGAAGTCAACCCGAACTTGGCCAGTGTGGTTGACTATGGCCTAATCACCCCTAACTTTAGGTAGGCTCCGAGCCCCTCGTTGGGGACGTATAGTGAGTTGATGACGATTACATTTAGCAACGTAGATATTAATGAAAACAATTTGAACAAGTCGTATTGGATGTTTAATAATTCTATTATTAGAGATTGAATTTACCTACTATTACAATTGCACGTTATCTCCGCACCGAGCTCCACTCTGAATTAATAATGTGATTGATGAAACGCGAACAGTGAAATAACTTTAGATAAATGGCACAAAGCATCGATTTTATATTAAACTAGCTGTCATCCGCGACTCCACTCGCACGGGAT